TTCCTCACTAATCAAATTGGAACATGAGATGACGCTACGAAGGTGTGACTTTGAATGTCAATTAAAAAAGGCTGGTACCCCACACCCGTATCGCACCTGCACTTCACATCCAGATCCACTATAACATCCTGCTTAGCTTTGTGTTATATCGCTGTGCATCATAGCGTCATATTCGACACTACGTCATTTTGCTGAGTACTACGTCATATCACTAAGCACCATTGCGTCCTGTTCGGCACTACGATATCCAGCAACTAATTGAAAAGAATTAAGTTTTTTATTTTAGAGGACAATGAGGTCACAGGCCTAAAGTTCTAAATTAGAGAAATTTTGGCCCGGCCAGAAAAACCACGAGGGGCTACCGGGATTTATTTTTTTTCGGATTTATCTTTTCTGCGGAATTTATTTATTTAATGGGAGCTTATTAATTATGATTATATTTCAGCAGACCAACACGCACACGCACATCCTAGGGTGTGGGTGTCTATCATCTCTTAAACGATGCTCACACTCACAACCAGATTTTCTTTGATTAAGTCGAATAACCAAAAGTCACATGGTGCTATATCTGGAGAATTAGGTGCATGTGGCATTATTGTAATGCCTTCCGATTTAAGATAACTGGTCACATCTTTATGAACATGTGACCTTCCGTTATCGTGATGAATTATAATACTACGAGTGCCACAGGACGGTCTTTGACATTTGATTTCATCGACGAGTGGTTGTAGACAATTGTTGATATAATAATGGTGATCAATTGTTTGTTCCCTTCCCATATGATGAATAAGGGCAGGACGATTTGACTTGAAGAAAATGAAAAATAATGTTTTTGGAGCAAACTTACTGCGTTGAATCACATACAATAGGTGGAGGATCTCCTCTTGCCACCCACGCAGCGTTTGATAACTTTCGACCGATCTGTTGATGATAAAACCATGACTCGTCACCAGTTATTACATCATACAAGCGCCATGTTCCTTTTTGGAATTTTGCTAAATTTTTCTTGCATATTCGAACTCGCTCTGACCGTTGAAAATCATTCAGATTCTTGGGTACATAACGAGCGGTAAGTTTCCTAAGCTTTAGATGAACCGAGATGATTCGCTGGACAGTTCCATAACTTAAATCAGTTTGCTTCTGCACTTCTTCAATTGTAATGTAAGGATCATGATCGATTAAAAGACGAACTTGTTCGTTATTTTCAGCTGTAGCTTCAGTGATTGGCCTTCCAGGTCTTACTTTATCTTCAATTTCTTCTTGGCCTTCACGAAACGATTTAGACCATCTTTGAACTGTTCTAAGAGAAGAAGCTTGATCACCGTAAACAGAAGATAATTCATTATGAATAGCGCTTGGTGGAATGTTAAGTTCGGTACGCACTTCAATATAGAAGCGAAAGTTTTCTGTACTCATCTGAAACAAATAGACACTGTTAAGGCTCAATCCAACTTAGTTTTTTGGTTGCTTCAAAAATATTGCAGCAAAATATACATACACACAAAGAAGACAAGAGACGACGTATCTCTTAACATACATGTATACATAGGCGACTAATCACATGACGACGAGGAAAAAAGAAGAAAGAAAAGAGAAAAACAAGGAAAGAACGAAAAAAAGCATGCAAGAATGATGATATAATATAATACAATCAGCGAGCTTTCAACAAAAACAGTTCTTACCAAGGTGTTTTTATTCTTATATTGAGTGAAGATCGATCAAATAGCATAGAAAGATAGAGCGAAAGACGCTCTATCTATTCATAAAAAAAGAATATTGTTTTTGCTTACTATAAGGAAATAAGACCTTGACGACACTACTTTTGGATTGCCCTAAGTAATATATTGGCCCATTGTTTCCTATTTTTTGTTTGTACTTTTCTCACCTATATTCAAATTTTACTTAACAATTTTCTTTTCATTGGTTCATGTTCTCGAACATTCAAATATATTGGGATGTGGATGGTTCGGTGGTGTAATCGGTAACGGTTAACAACCGATTTGGTCTGATCCAATCGAGATTTCTTTTTTGAATTTTTACATGGTTGTTTTTCAAAACAATATACCAAAGAAGCATTTTTTTACGAAGTTTAAGGCCTCCTACTGGTGCTGAAGAATAGGTCTGTGAAAAAAACACGCATTGGAGAATTTTTATGATGTGAAAGAGCATCACGGTATACTTAGTGCTTCGCATCAACTCGGTTCAATGACAGTTTATGCTATCGAATGTGGCTTCTCCTAAACTTATTTGCATGTCCTGTTTTATAAAGCGCGAATGTTTCCCAAAGACATACGGGCTAACGAAGTCAATATAAAATAAGGATGTGGGTGTGACTGGTTGTAAGTGTACGTGTCAGTGTAATCTTTTCGGTTGTCTCAACCCACACCCTCTTGTGAACAATAGAATAGAAAATGAATACTATTTTTTTTGTTTTATTTCGACAAAGAAAAATAAAAGCAAATCATGCTGATGGTTTCTAATTGAAGAGAAAAAAATTAGTTTTGATTATATTGTTTTTATCTATTGCAAAGCTTCACTTTCCTTTGCAACCGTTGAACTTGTTTTCTCTTCTTGAGAAACACTATTTAATTTAACAGCTTTATTTGATTCATTACGTTTAACAATAAATTCAAGTAAATCAATACTTGTTATTATACCAAATATATGTGTTTTGTGTTGTCTTGTTGATTGATCCAGATCTACTAATAAAACAAAAGAATTTCTGTAATTCATGAAAAGAAAATATTCTTACAATGATCATGAGCAAATTTAATAATCACATAATTATGAGCTTCTAAAATACGACTTAATTTTGCCAAACTATCATTAAGTTGAACCTAGAATGACTTATAAAAATTTAGAAAATTTTAAAAATTGAACAAGAGAATTTTACTGTTCGAAATTTATCTGTAACAGCTTTTGATACTTGATCTTGTGCATTTATTGTACCACGTGACATTTTTGCCATTATTTCACACAGTGTTGTCATACCCACAAACGTTCTATCAATAAGGAAAACATTTCTTGTATAATAGAAGAAAAAAGACAAGTAAATTTTCTTCATTACCCATCATCAGAAATAACAGGTACTTGATCAAAGCCTCTGGCATACATTATATCGAGTACTGCTTGGATTGTTGTATTTGATGAAACCATAACAGGTTCACGAAGTGATAAACTTGATATAGGCATTGAATGCCACCATTCACTATTAGGTTCATCTTTCATATCAAGAAAATCACGTTTATACATCCAATCATCACTTAAAAATTTTGTCCTAAATTAATTAATATTTTATATATATATTATTTATAATGAAAAAAATATTCAATAAAATTCTTACATATAATTTCGGACAGAATCTGGTAAAATGACAACACAAGTTTGGTTTTCAGTTAAATTAAAATTTTTACATGCTTGTATAGCACATGACATAGCTGAACCTGATGAAGCACCACAAAGCATTCCTTCATCTTTAATTAATTTTCTTGCATATCTGAATGAAATCATATCTGAACTTTTATACCATCGATCAACTAATGATCGATCAAGTACAGTTGGAATAAAATCAAATCTAATTGAAAATTATTTAACTTTCATGTGTTTTTTATGTTAACTTTTGCATAATACTTACCCAATTCCTTCGATCTGAAACAAAAATAATAATTAATATTCTAACAAAATAAAATCAAAAGATAAACCAAATATACTTCGTAAAATGTAATTTCAGTTTTATTCAATGTTTCAGGTACTGCTAACATTGAACCTTCTGGATCAACACCAACAATAATACAATTTGGACATTTTTCTTTTAATTTTCTTGATAGACCAGTTACAGTTCCTCCTTTAAAATAAATCCGAAAATTAATATTTTATTTGATGCTTTTTTAAAGAATTTTACCCGTTCCAGCTCCGATAACAACCATGTCAACTTTTCCTAAGGAAAAAAAAATTGTGAATATCTTTGTATATTGCATTCAACTATAATTCTTACCATCGCATGCTTCAAGAATTTCTTCAGCGGTTGAATCATAATGAGCAATTGGATTATATGGATTTCTACATTGATCAAGAATATGTGAATTAGGAATTTTCATTTTTAAACGATGTGCTACACCAATATGTGATTCAGGTGAATCAAATGACGCACCTGTTGGTGTACGAATAACTTCAGCACCTAATGCACGAAGTACATCAGCCTAAACATTCATATATGAACAATGCAAATTTCTTATTAAAAAATCATGTACTTACTTTTTCTTTGCTCATTTTTTCAGGCATAACAATAATACATCGATAATTCTTAACAGCACATGCTAATGCTAAACCAATTCCTGTATTACCAGATGTTGCTTCAATTACAGCATCACCGGGTTTTAATATTCCAGCACCTTCAGCTTCTTCAACCATACGTAGACCAATTCGATCTTTTATGCTACCACCAGCATTCAAATATTCAAGTTTAGCCACTAAATAAATACATATATTAAGTTCAACTGAAGATACAACTTTAACAACGTACAAAGATTACATTTCAAGCCAGCTTCGCTTCCCAAACGATTAATACGTACAAGTGGTGTATCACCAATTAATTCAAGAACATTGCTATAGACCTTCTGACGAAGTGACTTTTGTCTAGGTCAAAAGAAATTAATTAACAACAACAAAAAGTTTGCTGGTTCAAGAAAACTTACTTGGTACCAAGATTATGTGAACATTCACTTTTATCATCATTAACGGTATATGTACAACGGCTCAGTGTATCCGGTCGATTGGTCAAAAAACTTTCCATTTTTCTCACTCTTTATCCTGATCGAATATTGAAAAAATGTACTAACAAGATGGTACGCCTCTTTATTATAGTGCTACGACTTTGTGCTTGTCTTGTGACACAGGTGGATTGTATTGTAAGATAGTATGTATTTTTTTTTCTTAATTTATATATGCATAGACAGATATGTAAGCGTGCGTGAAAGAAATAAAAAAAACAGAACCTACTACGACATATATGTGGGTTATCAACGTTTTAATACAATCATAAAATTTTTTTCAGGGAGTGACTTTCTAAAATATTGAAAAACTTACTAACAACATATAGACCTCTCTAGATACGATTTTTTCTGAAGTTTACCAGTACCGAATTCAAAAAAACAACAAGCGTTGTGTTTGAAATTGTCCATATGTGAGATATTCGAGACGTAAGTGCATTGATGCATCACTTAATAATTTTATAATATATTCCTCTACAATTGGTATCCGTAAGTATAAATCAAGTGCTCATTTGAAGTAACGGTCTGTCTTATTTTCCGCCACAACTAACATTTGAACATATTGGCCTCATCGATTGAAAACGATGAATTTGGTGTACATTGCGAAACATTGTCTCCGTTTAACACAAATGGAATACTGTTTTGAAGAATCAACACCAAGTGCTGATGAAATTTTCGCTTCACAACAATTGTTCGAAATTTTAAAGACTTTCAAAGACACTTGTTTTAACGAATTATATACTTACTAAACTCTCGAATTCAATGATGAATATGACGAAATGATTAACGAAAGAGGCAGCATTGATAAAGAGAATATTGACGGTTATGAGAAAAATCAATAATTGGATGTTCGAAATAATTTTACATTAGAAGAGATGGAAGATATAATGGAATGAGTTGATCAACATTCAAATTATATAATTGCAACTGTTAAGCATAGGTTCCGATAAGTCAAATACATGTATTATATCCCAAAATTTAGAGAATATATTAAAACGAACGACACGAGATTAGAAAAACTAAAAAAAAATCAAAGACTTTATGTGGCATGAATTTTATTTGCAAAGAGCTATTGAAAAAGAAGCAATTCATGATAGCAATCTAAAATTTTGTGAAATACCAACACCAAGAAAACTAAATTGGAATAATTTCAAAACAAGTGAAGCCCTTCTTTTCGTGTTCAAAAGAGACCATCGAATTGCCTCCAGGTAGTACAACAAATTTATTACTCGAGTTTCTTCAGCCAGAAAAATAGGTAGTTTCGAAAGGTATGTATATTTGAGATTACAATCTATTTATCTTAATGTGATATATACGTAGCGCGTTCAAAAAGTATCCGGACTGATTTTATTTAAAAACAATAAGAAGCGCTGCTGTATTTGTATTATTGTCTGTGCGTAGTTCATAGAGTCTTCTATCCATAGACATGATAAACTCTGTTGAATTAAACGTATATATGAAAATATAGAAATACATTTGAGACCATTGTTTATACACTGACAGAAAAATCAAAAATTTTGAGCATCGCT